GGTGTGGCTATACATGGTAGTTGGTAATGTGTGGGTGTGGCTATACATGGTAGTTGGTAATGTTTGGGTGTGGCTATACATGGTAGTTTACCACAGTGTAAACGTGATTGTAGTGATATTACAAAAAAAAAATATTTAAACTCGGATACTGAGCCAGTAATAAAATGTTTCCACAATAGTGTCATGCATGAGGAGTACCGTTAGATATTGGTGGCCAGTTACGTGCAATTCGTTTTCGCAAAGCTTCTCCTTTCCTTTATCTTCGATATTGCTGACCCACCCAAGTTGGGTGGTGTGTTGCTTTGCTGCTTAAAATTGTAGTCAGACCGCTTTGTCATGTTATTAACTGGTCTCATCATCGTCCTGTAACAGTCGGCATTCTTTGCTGCCGCGGGACGTAGCTTGTGCACATTTTCGCTGCGCTCACCTTCCCCTCTTCGGTCCTACGTAACCATGAACCTTCCAAGTTGGAAGGATGTTGCTTTGCGCACTGGAGATGTGTTTGAGCTAGGTCTCGGGTCGCTGAATGTCTCAGTAGCCTGTCAGTTTTGTTCCCTATTATCCAACTTCCTGACCGTTTATCATCTCGTTACAGTCGTGGATAGTTGCTGCAGAACTCGTTCTCATGTGTTTCTTCTCTTCTTTACATAATATATTGATTATTAAATATAAGTTTCCGTGCATGGCACGGTAAGTGAAGTTAGCAACCCACCAACAATTACATTCCTAACATAATTTTCACGTACTTGCTATAGCGCATCACGCGCCCGTGCAGAACACGCACTCCGAACTCCCGCGCCCCGGCACGGGACCACGCGGAGCATGCGCATTACTCCGGCTCTCGATGCTGCTTCTTCTTCATCCTTGCTGCGCCAACAGTCAGATCGCTTGACAACCTTGGCCAGTTTTTGAGCTTGCTCTTCGCTTTGCAGTGCTGACGGTCAAATTGTTTGACTATCGCGGCCAGTTTCTGATCAACATCCGATCAACCAGGTCTCTGTCAGTGAGCGATGTCCAGCCAAAACGCTCCGTTTGCTTTGCTGCGCTGACGCAGTGACGGTCAAATTGTTTGACAATCGCGGCCAGTTTCTGATCAATATCCGATCAACCATGTCTCTGTCAGTGAGCGATGTCCAGCCATAACGCTCTTTGCTTTGCTGCCTTGACGGTCAAATTGTTTGACAATCGCGGCCAGTTTCTGATCAATATCCGATCAACCATGTCTCTGTCAGTGAGCGATGTCCAGCCAAAATGCGCTCTGCTGAGCTGCGAAACGCACTGGCATCCCGCAATTATTTAGACCCGACAGGAACAAAACCTACTCCGCGGACTCGCCTGCTCGAGTTGAAGTTGGCTCCAGACTACTGTACGCGAGGACTTGGCCGCTCCGGCAGCGGAGCAGAACCTAGCCGAGGCAACTGCAGCCCCATCCCTGGCCTGGGAGACTTTAGTCGGGAGGAGGTTCGCGACGCTTGGAGCACGTATTGTGCGACTGACGCAGCAGCACACCCCTCCAGGGCCCCCGGAGCTGTTTTCGCACCAGCCCATAATCTTGAAGATGGCTCGGAAATTTAGGTCCCTGATGCTGAGCTCTCCTCTCTAAAGCTGACACGAAGTATGCCTGGCGGCTTTGGTCTGTTTCCCCTCATGTCTGGCCCCGGCTTGGCATTTTTTGGAAGGTTCGTACCATGTAGATAAGGCACCACCATTTGGCCTTAGATCCTCCCCCTTCCGTTCAACAGACCGGCTGATGTGGACTCTCAGCCCAACGGCGACTCTGCAATGATCCTGCTAAGTCTCTTACTCGTCTTCGAGTACAGCGCTTCCGGACTCTCAGCCCATCTACCGACGCAGTGCTGACACACCCTGCACAGTCCACCCTCCAGCAGTTGACGACGCAACCATGGACCTCATCCGCCAGGGCCTGGCGGCCAGTTCCAGCATAACATGCGCTTCGCTGCCGCGCTCCGAACACTTGTCGCCCTGGGCCAGGGCAAGCCACACTCAGGGACTGATCAGTGCCGGCAGCATTGTTCCAGATCCTGTACTTTGAGTGCATTGCCCACTGTGCTAATGGCTAGCCGCATTGGACGGCACTCACATCAAATGCAGTGTAATAGTAATGCAGATAAATCCTGTTTGGGTCAGGTTGTCAGCGCTGCCGGACTCGCATCCCAACTGCCGAAGTGGTGCCGACACAACCAGCGCAGTCCACCCTCCAGCAGTTGACGACGCAACCATGGACCTCATCCGCCAGGGCCTGGCGGACAGCTCCAGCATGGCATGCGCTTCGCCGCAGCACTCCGAACGCTTGTCGCCCTGCGCCAGGGCAAGCCAACCTCAGGGACTGATCAGTGCCGGCAGCATTGTTCCAGATCCTGTACTTCGAGCACATCGCCCACTATGCTAATGGGCAGCCGCATTGGACGGCACTCACATAAATTGCAGTGTAATAGTAATGCAGATAAATCCTGTCTGGGTCCGGTTGTCAGCGCGTCTGGACTCGCAGCCCAACTGCCGAAGCGGTGCCGGCACAACCAGCGCAGTCCACCCTTCAGCAGTTGATGACGCAACCATGGACCTCATCTGCCAGGGCCTGGCGGGCAGCTCCAGCACAACATACGCTTCGCTGCAGCGCTCCGAACGCTTGTCACCCCGCACTAGGGCAAGCCATACCCAGTGACTGATCAGTGCCAGCAGCATTGTTCCATATCCGATACGTTGAGCGCATTGCCCACTATGCTAATGGGCAGCCGCATTGGACGGCACTCACATCAATTGTAGTGTAATAGTAATGTAGATAAATCCTGTTTGGGTCAGGTTGTCGACGCTTCTGGACTCGCAGCCCAACTGCCGACGCAGTGCCGACACAACCAGCGCAGTCCACCCTTCAGCAGTTGACGACGCGGGCCGCAACTTTGGACGATCTGGCTGGCGTACAGCACTACCTGCAGTCCACCGTGCCTAGCCCGCACAACCGCGCCATGCTCTGGAGCGCCGTGACTCTGGCCTTCCACGGGCTGCTCAGAGTCAACGAGTACACCTTCACGGCACGGGGCGCCGGCCTTGAGTACAGCGATGCGACCATGTACCCAGACCGCGTGGAGCTGCGCCTGCGTGTGACAAAGACGAGCCAATACGGCAGCGGCCAGGACATTAGCGTCAGGAGGACAGGCTCGCCGACATGCCCGCACACGGCAGCCACCAGCTACCTAGCAGCCCGTGGCTCGGCACCTGGCCCGCTCTATCGCTATGATGACGGCACGCCCCTGAAGCCGCATAACATCAACAGGCTACTACAAACAGCCTTGCCTAACAAAGACGTGCGCAGCCACAGCCTCAGACGAGGCGCTGCAACGCTGGCAGGCAAAGCTGGCGTGCCTGAGTACGTGCTGAAGACCGCCGGCAGGTGGCAAAGCTCTGCCTACCTCCGCTATGTCGGCACCCCTGTCGCAGACAGAGCATTGCCAGCGGCATTGTTCTAGTCTCTGCCCGTTATGCTAATGGGTAGCCGCATTGGACGGCCCTAGCAACAGCTGTAGTGTACATATGATATACCTATTATACTATAACTATAGTAACGCTACTAAAACTATAGTAATGCCGATAATTCCTGTTTGGGTCATGTTGTATTTTGGGAGAACGGTAGGGATCGTGGGTCAGGCCGGCATTGAGCCAAGTGCGCCTACATGTGCTCACAAGTGCATCCCTACCGTATGCGTGTATTGACACGCCGGGCAATTGTTGCCCCCATTAGCCCTGGCATTGGCCAGTCTAACGCACATTGGTGCTTGCGATACTACGGCATTGGTCCATAGTATTGCATACTGCATGCGGCAATTGTTGCCTGCGATACTACGGCATTGGTCCATAGTATTGCATACTGCATGCGGCAATTGTTGCCTGCGATACTACGGCATTGGTCCATAGTATTGCATACTGCATGCGGCAATTGTTGCCTATGCCCTGATAATACAACGCGTAATAGCTCCCAAACAGGTCGGCTTGTGTGGTTGTTGAATATAAATTTCCGTGCATGGCACGGTAAGTGAAGTTAGCAACCCACCAAAAATTACATTCCTAACATAATTTGCACGTACTTGCCATAGCGCATCACGCGCCCATGCAGAACACGCACTCCGAACTCCCGCGCCCCGGCACGGGACCACGCGGAGCATGCGCATTACTCCGGCTCTCGATGCTGCTTCTTCTTCATCCTTGCTGCGCCAACAGTCAGATCGCTTGACAACCTTGGCCAGTTTTTGAGCACCACCACCCACCCCATCATCTCTAACCATCATTCTATTCTAAGCCATCCCGGAAGGGAGAACGGTAGGGATCGTGGGTCAGGCCGGCATTGAGCCAAGTGCGCCTACATGTGCTCACAAGTGCATCCCTACCGTATGCGTGTATTGACACGCCGGGCAATTGTTGCCCCCATTAGCCCTGGCATTGGCCAGTCTAACGCACATTGGTGCTTGCGATACTACGGCATTGGTCCATAGTATTGCATACTGCATGCGGCAATTGTTGCCTGCGATACTACGGCATTGGTCCATAGTATTGCATACTGCATGCGGCAATTGTTGCCTGCGATACTACGGCATTGGTCCATAGTATTGCATACTGCATGCGGCAATTGTTGCCTATGCCCTGATAATACAACGCGTAATAGCTCCCAAACAGGTCGGCTTGTGTGGTTGTTAATATATTTTTCAAGGATTCTCCAGAACCAAATGGATTCCTATCAAGGGGAGGCTCCTGGGGAAAGAAAGTGAAGGTGGCTGATATGAAAGAGGGAGGAATGGACATGATAAAGTGAAAAATAAAAATAATGCAAACGGGAACAGTAGAAGCTAGTTGCAAAATTTCGGTAAACCTTGCACAGAATACTTGTGATTCAGATTGTGTCTACACACAGCAACAGTAAATCGGCCAGCGGATTTCAGACAGCGGATTTCTTCTGGCAGCTTATTCCAGTGTGTGTTGCTGTGTTTCAGGTATCCGTTTGGTGACAACATTGGTGAAGGCTATTGTTACCAATGGAGCAAGAGTCCAGCAAGGATGAGAGCTCCGGCCGCCAATCACAACAACCTGCTGGTGGCACTGGTGAGTGAAATGATTGCTTTAGCTTGTGGAGGAACAAAACTGTGGGACTTGATTTCAAGGGTCATTGCACAGTCCACTGCTTGTATTGGCGTTCCTTTGGAGCAAGTCGTACATATCCATTCGTACGGCTCCATATGAGATGCAGTGGAACTCGGATAAGAGCTACTGCCTCGGGAATGGAAAAACGAACTTAGTAGAGAGGTTTTTCAGAACAAACGTTCGCATGGATTTTCTTGTCTGGGCTTGCGACTATTTCTGCGAATGTTCACGCGAAGTTTGTGTTTTCCATGATTCTCGCTCCAAAATAAATACGAGTGCACTCTTGCTTTTTTGAGAAGCCGTCTTCAGTAGATCTACCGAGCTTCATTTGACTGAAAATGTATTTGCTACGAGTGGCTGCACTCTGAGACAAGAGCTTTTGACCCGCAGATAAATATGTTGGCCTGTGCCACTATCCGGCGCATCAACATCTGCAAATTCCAAAAAACATCACCGACTCTGAGAAAATGAGCAGACAGGAGATCGGAGATGGTTACGGAGATGAAGCAGTGTGGGCTGCCATATTGGAAAACCAGTACCAGCAACCAAGCCAAGAGTAGATCTTCTGGATTGTGAAAGATGAAGCACAAAACATTGCATGAGAGTGGTTCGCCATTCCACTGCACTGGTCCTGGACCGTTTTCTCTTGTTGCTAGAGCCCTAGCAGCAGTACCCTGCCAAAGAGATAAACAAGACGCCTGGCAAAACGACTCCTGACTACAACATCATACATCCACATGAGCACTTGCCTAGACAAAGACAGTTTGGGGAATGTCATTACAACTAACATCACTAGGTAGTTCTACAACAGCCTGCGTGTCTGCAAGTGTCAAGGTGTGTGGGTATGTGTGATGCACTAAGTATGCATGTGCATCACAACACAATGCTTGCAATCCACTGCTCACTCTTTTGCTTTCATATAGTGGTACTATGTTGTGCAGTGCACATAACCGACTTACAGAAACCTATCCCCAGTCAAGTTGGTGTACCAGAAAGCAGTTATCTAGGTCTGTCAATGCTGAACATACTTTACAGTTCTATATCGTCACTGCTATAACACTATTAGAGGCTGGCTGGCTTTGATGTAGATCAGTCAAACCTTGCGACCTAGGTCCAACAGATGATGACTTCGCCAAGCAAGTGATTCATTAGTTTTCAAAGATGTCATGTTGACAGATACATGTTTAGCAGAAGAAGATGCTGCGTTCCCTGTCCCAGTATTTACTTACACACCATGCAATCCCAGTATTTACCTACACACCATGCAATCCCAGTATTTACCTACTCACAATGCAATCCCAGTATTTACCTACACACCATGCAATCCCAGTATTTACCTACACACAATGCAATCCCAGTATTTACCTACACACCATCCAATCCCAGTATTTACCTATACACCATGCAATCCCAATATTTACCTATACACCATGCAATCCCAGTATTTACCTAAACACCATGCAATCCCAGTATTTACCTACACACCATGCAATCCCAGTATTTACCTATACACCATGCAATCCCAGTATTTACCTACACACCATGCAATCCCAGTATTTACCTATACACCATGCAATCCCAGTATTTACCTACACACCATCCAATCCCAGTATTTACCTATACACCATGCAATCCCAGTATTTACCTACACACCATGCAATCCCAGTATTTACCTATACACCATGCAATCCCAGTATTTACCTACACACCATGCAATCCCAGTATTTACCTACACACAATGCAATCCCAGTATTTACCTACACACCATGCAATCCCAGTATTTACCTATACACCATGCAATCCCAATATTTACCTATACACCATGCAATCCCAGTATTTACCTAAACACCATGCAATCCCAGTATTTACCTACACACCATGCAATCCCAGTATTTACCTATACACCATGCAATCCCAGTATTTACCTAAACGCGATGCAATCCCAATATTTACCTACACACCATGCAATCCCAGTATTTATCTATACACCATGCAATCCCAGTATTTACCTTCACACCATGCAATCCCAGTATTTACCTAAACACGATGCAATCCCAGTATTTACCTACACACCATGCAATCCCAGTATTTAACTACACACCATGCAATCCCAGTATTTACCTATACACCATGCAATCCCAGTATTTACCTACACACCATGCAATCCCAGTATTTACCTATACAACATGCAATCCCAGTATTTACCTACACACCATGCAATCCCAGTATTTACCTACACACCATGCAATCCCAGTATTTACCTACACACCATGCGATCCCAGTATTTACCTATACACCATGCAATCCCAGTATTTACCTACACACCATGCAATCCCAGTATTTACCTACACACCATGCAATCCCAGTATTTACCTATACACCATGCAATCCCAGTATTTACCTATACACCATGCAATCCCAGTATTTACCTACACACCATGCAATCCCAGTATTTACCTACACACCATGCAATCCCAGTATTTACCTACACACCATGCAATCCCAGTATTTACCTACACACCATGCAATCCCAGTATTTACCTAAACACCATGCAATCCCAGTATTTACCTACACACCATGCAATCCCAGTATTTACCTACACACCATGCAATCCCAGTATTTACCTATACACCATGCAATCCCAGTATTTACCCATACACCATGCAATCCCAGTGTTTACCTATACACCATAATAATAATAATAATAATAATAACAGCTCGCATGTACCCCATGGGTGAGATCACCCATGGGGCTAACGCATCTGTCGGCAAAAGCGTTAGAGAAAACGAGAAACACATGACATACACACCTTCTTCATTCTGTTATTGCAGGGAAAAACTACCTCGATTCCACCATGAGCCTAGGCAGTAGGAATATAATATTAAGTACAGAATGTTATTTACCAAAAGGATATTCAAGTAAGCGCAGATACACCATGCAATCCCAGTATTTACCTACACAACATGCAATCCCAGTATTTACCTGCGCACCATGCAATCCCAGTATTTACCTATACACCATGCAATCCCAGTATTTACATACACACCATGCAATCCCAGTATTTACCTACACACCATGCAATCCCAGTATTTACCTATACACCATGCAATCCCAGTATTTACCTATACACCATGCAATCCCAGTATTTACCTATACACCATGCAATCCCAGTATTTACCTACACGCCATGCAATCCCAGTATTTACCTATACACCATGCAATCCCAGTATTTACCTATACACCATGCAATCCCAGTATTTACCTATACACCATGCAATCCCAGTATTTACCTACACGCCATGCAATCCCAGTATTTACCTATACACCATGCAATCCCAGTATTTACCTATACACCATGCAATCCCAGTATTTACCTACACACCATGCAATCCCAGTATTTACATACACACCATGCAATCCCAGTATTTACCTATACACCATGCAATCCCAGTATTTACCTACACACCATGCAATCCCAGTATTTACCTACACACCATGCAATCCCAGTATTTACCTATACACCATGCAATCCCAGTATTTACCTATACACCATGCAATCCCAGTATTTACCTACACACCATGCAATCCCAGTATTTACCTACACACCATGCAATCCCAGTATTTACCTACACACCATGCAATCCCAGTATTTACCTATACACCATGCAATCCCAGTATTTACCTACACACCATGCAATCCCAGTATTTACCTATACACCATGCAATCCCAGTATTTACCTATACACCATGCAATCCCAGTATTTACCTACACACCATGCAATCCCAGTATTTACCTACACACCATGCAATCCCAGTATTTACCTACACACCATGCAATCCCAGTATTTACCTACACACCATGCAATCCCAGTATTTACCTACACACCATGCAATCCCAGTATTTACCTACACACCATGCAATCCCAGTATTTACCTACACACCATGCAATCCCAGTATTTACCTACACACCATGCAATCCCAGTATTAACCTATACACCATGCAATCCCAGTATTTACCTATACACCATGCAATTCCAGTATTTACCTACACACCATGCAATCCCAGTATTTACCTACACACCATGCAATCCCAGTATTTACCTACACACCATGCAATCCCAGTATTTACCTACACACCATGCAATCCCAGTATTTACCTACACACCATGCAATCCCAGTATTTACCTACACACCATGCAATCCCAGTATTTACCTACACACCATGCAATCCCAGTATTTACCTACACACCATGCAATCCCAGTATTTACCTACACACCATGCAATCCCAGTATTTACCTAAACACCATGCAATCCCAGTATTTACCTACACACCATGCAATCCCAGTATTTACCTACACACCATGCAATCCCAGTATTTACCTATACACCATGCAATCCCAGTATTTACCCATACACCATGCAATCCCAGTGTTTACCTATACACCATAATAATAATAATAATAATAATAATAATAACAGCTCGCATGTACCCCATGGGTGAGATCACCCATGGGGCTAACGCATCTGTCGGCAAAAGAGTTAGAGAAAACGAGAAACACATGACATACACACCTTCTTCATTCTGTTATTGCAGGGAAAAACTACCTCGATTCCACCATGAGCCTAGGCAGTAGGAATATAATATTAAGTACAGAATGTTATTTACCAAAAGGATATTCAAGTAAGCGCAGATACACCATGCAATCCCAGTATTTACCTACACAACATGCAATCCCAGTATTTACCTGCGCACCATGCAATCCCAGTATTTACCTATACACCATGCAATCCCAGTATTTACATACACACCATGCAATCCCAGTATTTACCTACACACCATGCAATCCCAGTATTTACCTATACACCATGCAATCCCAGTATTTACCTACACGCCATGCAATCCCAGTATTTACCTATACACCATGCAATCCCAGTATTTACATACACACCATGCAATCCCAGTATTTACCTATACACCATGCAATCCCAGTATTTACCTACACACCATGCAATCCCAGTATTTACCTACACACCATGCAATCCCAGTATTTACCTATACACCATGCAATCCCAGTATTTACCTATACACCATGCAATCCCAGTATTTACCTACACACCATGCAATCCCAGTATTTACCTACACACCATGCAATCCCAGTATTTACCTACACACCATGCAATCCCAGTATTTACCTATACACTATGCAATCCCAGTATTTACCTACACACCATGCAATCCCAGTATTTACCTATACACCATGCAATCCCAGTATTTACCTATACACCATGCAATCCCAGTATTTACCTACACACCATGCAATCCCAGTATTTACCTACACACCATGCAATCCCAGTATTTACCTACATACCATGCAATCCCAGTATTTACCTACACACCATGCAATCCCAGTATTTACCTACACACCATGCAATCCCAGTATTTACCTACACACCATGCAATCTCAGTATTTACCTACACACCATGCAATCCCAGTATTTACCTACACACCATGCAATCCCAGTATTTACCTATACACCATGCAATCCCAGTATTTACCTATACACCATGCAATTCCAGTATTTACCTACACACCATGCAATCCCAGTATTTACCTACACACCATGCAATCCCAGTATTTACCTACACACCATGCAATCCCAGTATTTACCTACACACCATGCAATCCCAGTATTTACCTACACACCATGCAATCCCAGTATTTACCTACACACCATGCAATCCCAGTATTTACCTACACACCATGCAATCCCAGTATTTACCTACACACCATGCAATCCCAGTATTTACCTACACACCATGCAATCCCAGTATTTACCTACACACCATGCAATCCCAGTATTTACCTACACACCATGCAATCCCAGTATTTACCTACACACCATGCAATCCCAGTATTTACCTATACACCATGCAATCCCAGTATTTACCTATACACCATGCAATCCCAGTATTTACCTATACACCATGCAATCCCAGTATTTACCTATACACCATGCAATTCCAGTATTTACCTATACACCATGCAATCCCAGTATTTACCTAAACACCATGCAATCCCAGTATTTACCTACACACCATGCAATTCCAGTATTTACCTATACACCATGCAATCCCAGTATTTACCTATACACCATGCAATCCCAGTATTTACCTATACACCATGCAATCCCAGTATTTACCTATACACCATGCAATTCCAGTATTTACCTATACACCATGCAATCCCAGTATTTACCTATACACCATGCAATCCCAGTATTTACCTATACACCATGCAATTCCAGTATTTACCTATACACCATGCAATCCCAGTATTTACCTAAACACCATGCAATCCCAGTATTTACCTATACACCATGCAATTCCAGTATTTACCTATACACCATGCAATCCCAGTATTTACATACACACCATGCAATCCCAGTATTTACCTATACACCATGCAATTCCAGTATTTACCTATACACCATGCAATCCCAGTATTTACCTATACAACATGCAATCCCAGTATTTACCTATACACCATGCAATCCCAGTATTTACCTACACACCATGCAATCCCAGTATTTACCTACACACCATGCAATCCCAGTATTTACCTACACACCATGCAATCCCAGTATTTACCTACACACCATGCAATCCCAGTATTTACCTACACACCATGCAATCCCAGTATTTACCTACACACCATGCAATCCCAGTATTTACCTACACACCATGCAATCCCAGTATTTACCTACACACCATGCAATCCCAGTATTTACCTACACACCATGCAATCCCAGTATTTACCTATACACCATGCAATTCCAGTATTTACCTATACACCATGCAATCCCAGTATTTACATACACACCATGCAATCCCAGTATTTACCTATACACCATGCAATTCCAGTATTTACCTATACACCATGCAATTCCAGTATTTACCTATACACCATGCAATCCCAGTATTTACCTATACACCATGCAATCCCAGTATTTACCTACACACCATGCAATCCCAGTATTTACCTACACACCATGCAATCCCAGTATTTACCTACACACCATGCAATCCCAGTATTTACCTATACACCATGCAATCTTACCATGTACAAGTAGACATAGCTTTTCCATGTGCTTATGTTTGTACTGTAGCAATGGAAACAGTTTCTGAAGAGGAGAGTAAGGACAAGTATCGACCACCAGGTCTGGCTGAGTGCGGTGATCACTACTACTCAACCAATGCACCTCATCCAGACCTGGTGAGAGCATGTGAAGATGACGATGTGGAACAAGTCCGACACACCGTGAATATCGGCACTCCAACTGAACCTGTGACTAGACCGGATCTCTTGGAACAAGTGCCGGAGTCATACTTTACCATTGCAAATCGTGCTAAGAGAATTCCCATGACAATCATGGTAAGTCAGAAGTATCTCCTCCATCCCCTCAAATGAATGATGCTTTGCCAGTGTCGCACCAAAGCAATTTTCACCTCTCAAACTATGTACAACTTGCAATTAATTTCAACGACTTTAAGCGGTGCATTAGTTTAGGGCTGCAATGGGTAGGGGATTTGTCGGGTAACGGGTCTGGGTATTTTATCCGGGTAGAGCGGGTACCCTATCGGGTATTTTTTGACACAGTTTGTACTGTGAGTGTGCACTTGCGCTACATAGAAATTGTACAGCAGCATGTACATGTAGCCATGCTATTTACATGCACCGTTGCAAAAACACTGTACTCCAACCACCCAATCCGGTTCTCAGGAGAAAAATGGATACCCTACTACTTCCTCCGGAAAAAAACCTCGTTACTTTTTCACATGACTTTTCAAGGAGTTACTGAACTCAACAAACGTTTTCTTTTGGAAGAGAAACACTTCAACACATTCAATCCACATATCTACAATATCTACAGGATCGATTAGTGGGAGTAGAGTGTCAGTCTGGGTCGCCATCGCTCAACTCATCACCGCTGAAACCGTTCCAAGTGGCAGGTCGATTAACGCCGTATGTCATGAAGCTTCTCCGCGCCTCTGATCGTCTTCGCTGTTACCTGGATGCCTTCTCCAACATCTCGGCAGAGACCACGGTAGCGCTGCAGCGCTGGTACCCATTACCGCCCGAGCTCTCGCTCGAGGATGCCCCGGAACAACCAACACGGGCACGCCAAACATTTCAAATTTCCTCCGAGGGATATCATAGTCGTACCAGCACTTCCCGGCTGCTGCGATCATATCTCGCCTTCTCCTTTGCCACCAAGGACACATCGTCGAAGCTGCTAGAAAAGGCGAGATCATCCACGTTTAGGTCTAGGCTCTGCAGTGGCTGAACGACTTCTATTTTGAACTTGTTCATCTTGATCTGCTGCGTGAAGTGACGATTGTCACATCTCTGCGTTTTGGAGTTTTGAAATCTTGCCGACTTGTTGGCATGCAAACAGGCGTTTCGGGGATGGCGAATCTTTCAAAACGCTAGCTGCTATTGCTATTCATTCTCCACTCTTCTTGGTCTTTGGTGCCATTGTCCAGCTATCTCAAGTTTGGAACTAAAAAATAGCTACGACGAGCAGTGAGCGCAGTGCTTTTCTTCCCATTGCGCCTGATGGACGAAAAATGAAAAAACCATGTTCGCTTTGCTTTCTTCGCAGCGTCGACACCCTTGATCTGCGACGACTGTCGGCTCTCCAAAATATGAATCATGCTTTCCTACGATTCAGAAATGTCATGCCAGTGTTTCAGGCTAACAGAACGAGAGAGAGAGAGAGAGAGAGAGAGAGAGAAAATAACAGCAGCGAAAAGTAATGAAAAAGTCACGAAGTTTTTTGCTTCCGGAGGAAGTACGGGTACGGGTAGCATGGGTACCCTACTACTCGTTGACACCCCTACATTAGTTACATCCAGAGTACATAGCCACCAAAAATGTGCAACTCAACCATCGATTCTGTCCTGACAGAATTCAAAGTTGACATCATCTTTATGATACAAAGCATGTTGTACATGTCTCATCCTGTACCTGTGGAGGACAAATAACATTATCATCCCATGTAATGTGTTAACAGACGGTGAATACGGTGTAAATCACGCGCTAGAGAATTATTGCATCATACAATTTGGTCGGAACAGCACTGTATCTGGAAGGTGCACACCTTTTTAACGGATGATAGTATAGTTTTCGTTACAGTCCTTATTTTCTGAGAAACAGAAATCAAATAGAAAAAAATACATAGAAAGACCAGAAGTGTATTCGCAATAACTTGAAATGTCCTAGTAAAACAATTATCGGCACACAGCCCTGTAGGAAGAATAATGTGACCCAGGACTTCTAAATTCATTTCCTTCTAGTCACATGCCATGATGGCTAACTTTACAACACACAAAGTTACCAACGAATGTCTGATGTTCCACGGACCGGGATAGTGAGACTATGAATTTTGAAGCTTTGAAAAGCTCACACCACATGATCATGACTACCATCTAGAACACACAAGGAGCCTATCCTTCGTAAGCCGATTTTCAGCAGGCATATTAACTATTTCCTTTCACTCAGATAGCAACCGGTTTGTACATGGGGTGGTGGTCTACGGTTACGTAACAACAAGTATATGCTTTGAGTGCTGAGACTGAGAGTATACGAGTTACAATGGTGGCAGCGGAAAAATAGTCGTCGGTTTTGTCCTCGGCTGGGAAGACGCCTCCGCAGGAGAGACAAGTTGCAGAGTCGACAAGTTCCAGAGAGTCTGAGACCAGTTCCAGCTACTCGGGAGACCAGCCCACAGACTAAGTTCTAATTTACTAGTATTGGTCATTCTATCCTTCGTCTCGTTTTCCATTCTTTACTTCTTGACTGATCGTTCGCTGTGCATGAGTAACAGTTTTGTTTGGTGTAAAAAGGGCTAGAATTTTCACTACAATTATTTTTGCACATAGTTCTACGTGGACGTGGGTGTGCGTGCATACTTACAGCTGCCCTGGCCTTGGTCTTGTACTTGTTGTAGTACTACTGTACTAGATTGTGCATGCATGCACCTGCATATGACGTAACTCCATGATTGTACATGCAGTACTTACTACTTGTGTAGCTAGCTAGCTAGGTAGACCTACGCACTACGTAGCTTGACACATCACGGATTCACGGTACGGGCCGCGCCGGCGGGTAGGCCGCGAGTGACGTTTGCATTGCAGGGTTTTTTTTGTAGAATTTTTTTTAAAAATTTTAAATTTTGTTTAAATTTTGAACTTGATCTCGAACGCAAGATGGGCAAGTCGAAAAAGCAGACACGGTCACCTAGTCCATTGTCATTCGAGATGTATGACAAGCCTGCCAGTGCCTCAGCCTTACCGAGACCAATCCTGTTACCCGAAGTATTTGGTCGTGCTGGAAATGAAGATTTTTCGGCCTACCTCAAACATTTTAACGATGCATGCCACCTGAATGGGTACAGTGAGGAACAAAAACTATTGTTATTACCCACAAGACTCGTAGGCACGTCCCATGAACTGCTGGAGACCATTCTCCTATCTGATGCAGACGTTTCGTTTCATGACGCCGTTGAAGCGCTCCGCAGTCGCCTGGAGCCACCACAGCAGGCCCAAATGCACGAAGCGGCTTTACGCCAGCGCCTTAAACTCGCCCATGAAACGCAGTATGCATATGCCATGGAGCTCCGCCGCCTTGCTGCCAAAGCATATCCAGGCCAACAGGGCCCGTTACTAGAATCGATGCTGCTGCAGATTTTCATCGATGGTCAGCCAACAAAAGATATGCGCCTGGCTCTGTCGTCGCCACGACCAGCAAGCATTGAATTGGCGGTCCAAAAAGCAATTGAGGTCTCGGCAATCTACGCCAGGGAACAGAGCCGGATGCCCAGTGTAGAGTCTCACTTCACTCAGGCTGTACATGTAACTGGTGACTACGATGGCTCGGCCTGCGCCGCGTTGCCGTTACGCAGCCAGCCACCTGGCCCATCACCAGCTGTACCCCGTGCTTCTGTTGCCAAGGCAAGTGCGTACGACGCTGGAGAGCGTGATTGACTGGCCCAAGTGCTTGAGAAGTTTGATTCAAGAATGTCAGATCTTGAAAAGAGACTCGGCCGTTTAGAAATAATTGTCGCTCCGCAAACACCAGTTACTGCAGGAGCAAGTCCCGATGGCCAGTCTCGTGTCAGTGGACGTGGTCGTGGACGGGGACGGGCGTATAGTCGTGGTGGTCGCGATGAACCGCCGATTTGTTTTGGGTGTGGACAACCTGGCCACTTTGCTGTTGATTGCCCACACAACCCTTGGCGCTCGGGAAACTGAGTACGACTGGTGGTGTGGGACAACTCCCAGTCGTCCACGAGGAGCCATCAGATGAGGCGCGAATCGAAGCTGTATCATCTGTCGTCCCGACCCTAGACCTCAATGTTGAAGGCAAGAGCGTAACTGCACTAATTGATTCTGGTTCATGTGTTTCTTTGTTGCATGAACAAACATTATTGTCCACGAATGGTGATGTGCCTTTGCAAGCTGCCCCCCGTTTGTGTGCGGTGAATGGTGAGGGACTTCGGGTTCTGGGTGCTGTAGATATCGAATGCTGCATTGGAGGGTGCTCATTTTTGCATGCATTTGTAGTGTCCCCTGATATCCGCCGTGATATGATCTTGGGATCTGATTTCTTGTTTGACCATGGAGCATTACTGAACATTGCTCAAGGAACCTTAACTTTTAAAGACCTGTCAGTCCCGTTAGGAGTGAAAGCTACCAGTTTTGGTCCATCGGAACCTAGTCCGGCCGTTGCGGAGGACCCGGCGCCAGTATCTGACTCTTGTGTTAGTGATAGTAATTCTCAGGAAGACCTGAGCACGTACTCTTCTCGTGTCACTGTTGGTCGTGCATTAACTCTGCCTGCCGGCCATGTAGTGTTGGTGCCGTGCATGTCTGTGCAAGAGGCACCTGTAACTGTGGACTGTGTTGCTGATCCACTTGACTCATTCTTGACAAAGTTTCCAGATGTGTCTGTGACCCCCGGTGTGGTTACGGTTGGACCTGACAGGTCCCGTGTGGTAGTTGTGTTGGAAAATCACTCTGACCACCCAGTGCTTCTTGCTAAAGATGTTAACATTGCCGAGTTATCTCCTGTACCCGAGGACTTCATTGTCGAGGATAATGATCCTACTGTTTCGTCCGTTGCGGATACGCCACCGCTTGTGCTATCCCCTGAACGTGCCGAGGTAATCCGTACATATGTTGACTCTCAGAGTCATCTGTCAGTACCTGAGAAGAGCACACTTACAGAGATTCTCCGGGAGAATCATGACTTGTTTATCTTGCAGGAGGGTGATTTTGGTCATTGTGATGTTTTCCCACATCGTATTAGTACTGGTGAGACAAAGCCAGTTAAGCAGCCTACGCGTCGTGTACCCTACCACCGCCGGCAGGCTTTACAAGCTTTGCTGGATGATCTGTTGGCCCGTGGTATAATCACAGAGTCTATTAGTCCCTGGGCGTCACCCATAGTTC